AGCTTTTTTGTTTAATTAGCCTTTTAAAATTTTAAGTGGATCTGAGCAATACCTATCATACCCATATAAACTCAATGTAAAGACTGAAATTTCGTCTATAATATACTACTCGTACACTTTGTAATCTTAAAATATTTTTACATTTTATAGGTTGTTGGTTTTTTCTGCCTTAGGGTTAGGCAGACCTGACTAGCCTTTGAAGTTAACTGCTATTCTTAAGTCCGCCTCTTGTATTCTTTTATCTTAAGGATACAATAAAGAATAAAATAATAAATAATAATAGACTGTAGCAGCTAATTACAATTGTCGTCAGGTGGACTGTTGGTTCCGGGCATTTACATCAGGTGGATTAAAAGCTTTTTTGTCGCTTCGGTTTTATAAAAAAAAAGAAATACCTAGGTAATTTGTGGTAGAATTTGTCCTCAGATATGAATTGGAACACCCTTGAATAAATAATAAATATAATACATAACAATCACTGGCAAATATATCACGCAATATACAAAAGAAAACAGATCACGTAATATGCAAAGAACTAAAAGCATAAAATAATTTCCGCATAATAACTTCAGAAGTCGTTGTTAAGATGTTATAGTGTACCTATTAGAAGTAATAAAACACCGGTTTCTGAAGCTAATGTGCTTAAATTATTTTATTCCTCTTAGTTTTTTGAAATTTCTTTGAAGTCGGCCTTTACTTTTTATTATAAGTCTAATACCAACGTAAAATAGCAGCGTAATGCTGCTGTGTTTCGTATGGTGAGTTTAGTGAACCGTTCACGGCTTTCCAGAACTGATTTAATTATTATTTATGGTCCGATCCACGCTGAATGAACTTACTGTGTCTTTAAGTCTTGCAGTGATATGCTTGGTTTAGTTTTCATTTAATTTATTTATAGAACGCTCTAGAACTACTATGTTTAGAAAATAATCTATAAAAATATTTGTAATATTATGATCATTAACCTCGAGTCGCGCGCGTAATTCGTGTCACAACAAAAATTTCAGTGCGATAGGTCGCAAAAGAATCGCAAAGCATTTAATAAATAGCAAATCTATTTAATTTTCCAATATTTTAGTAAATACCAACGAACTTAATGTGGTTGAGCCATGTTGCAGCTATATTATAGTTGTAGCACGAATGGGTCTACTCGACCGGGAAGGATCAAGTGCTCATAGAATACCGGCGTAAAATAGGAGTAGTACTTGTGGTACACATGTGTATCTTGATCGAGCGAGCGTAAGACGTTTGTGTCTGGTACACATGTGTAGCTTGCTCGACTCTTCAGGTTAATGCTGTTGTGTTTCGTATAGTGAGAGTAGACAACCGGAGGTCTTTTTTACTGGATATGAGGCATTCCGTCTTGGTCCCCAGTGTTGACACTTATCGAGGATAAATGTAGATGTCACAGATCAGATAAATGTAGATGAGACAGATGGCCCTCATTCTTTTAATATATAAAAATTAATGTTTGTTGATTCGTATTTTATGCGCTGCCATACCGTTTATCAGATTGCGGTAAACTTAGTCAACTTATTGCTTACACTTGCGCGGAAGTTATAGGCATAGTACCTTTAGCTTCTTCCGCGGCTGCAACTCTCCGTGTACCAGCTAGTATTCTACAAAAAAACGGTATTTGCAATAAAGTTCGGTAGTTATGATAATCGCTCCGCTATTACTTACACATCATTACCAATTAAAACTTGACAGTTTATTACGAGCTTACTTTAAATAACTAATAGTCCCTATTATTGGTTATATCCCGAAATTCAAGTTCAACTATGTATATGTAGACCGCCAGTATAATTAAGAACATTTTTTTTTCTTCATCAGCCCGTAAAAGTGATCTGCTAAACATGCGTCTCATACGTTTTAGAGTATTACGAGGTACATACTTAATTATTAGTGGTAGAACCCACACTCCAGCAGTTATATTATGTGTGCAGCACATTTGGGTCGGCTCGACCGGGGTAGGATCACACTCTCACATAATACCAGCGTGAAACAGAATTATTCCGAATTACGTAGGTGAGTGTAGAGAAAGGAGACCTTGTTTACTGGTACCTTATAAGCCATTTATTTTGATTTTTAATCGCCACAGCATCCACTTACCAGCAGGTGGACTGTGTACTCGCTTCTCACCCTTTTATCTATCCTATCCTATCCTATACCTTTAAACGAGCAATACTTATATATATATATATATATATATATATATATATATATATATATATATATATATATATATATATATATAATCGGAATCTCGGAAACGGCTCCAACGATTTTCATAAAATTTAGTGTCCAGAGAGTTTCGGGGGTAATTAATTTATTTTTAGAAATATCTCTTTGTCCATGTTTTCGGGCAATAAAAAAACTGCTACAATATAAGAACGTAAATTTTGACATGTTACTAGCGACCGTAATAGCTCAGATGGGATGTTCTTCGGGCGTGATGTCGGTGTTCAGTGGTTCGCGTCCCGTCTTGGGTTCGACTTTTTTTCCTTTTTTTTTTCAAGTTCCCGTCTTTTGTGAGAGTATCTATTATTTCGAGCCCTTTTTTTAGTATTTTTTTAAAAATACGCAAATTTTAATTAAACTAATTGCACTCATGATTTTTTATTCAAAAAACCAGTTCAGTTTTTTCTAATTTCTGTCAATAAGATCAAAAAATATTATTTATGTTTCATCAGTATGTAATTTATAAATGTAATTTCAAAAAAAAAAACCGAGCAATGCTCGGTCATCCGGGTACTATTATGTTATACGTGGAAGAGCCACGCTTCAGCTATAATATAGTTGTAGCAAGAATAGGTCGGCGCGATTGGGATCCTCGCTCTCAAAGAATACCAGCGAAATAGACCCTTTTTACTGGAAACGAGGCATTCCATCTCAGTCCTCACGGGTGACAACGCATCTGCATTTTGATTTTTAATGGAGGATAGATATAGATATCTATGGGCCGCAGCAACCACTTACCATCAGGTGGACTGTGTGCTCGTTTGTCACCCTAATTCTATAAAAAAAAAAAAAAAAAAAAAAAAAAAAAAAAAAAAAAAGCAGTCTAATGTTGCTGCGTTTCGTATTATGAATGTAGAGAAGCGTAGGCCCTTTTTGACAGTGGTGTTTAATTTTTTAACGATTCTTAATCAAGGATAGATGTCTATGGGACACAGCATGCATTTACCAGCAGGTGAACTGTGTGTGTGCTCGATGGCTACCATTATTCTATAAAAAACGCCAGGTGTAAACAGGATAGCTATTTGATCATCTACTACAAATGTTTTTCCGTATTATACGAGTGATAACTTTTGATCGAAAGACAACGGGTAAGAATGTCTTTTTTGTAGTATCAAGAGTGATAAACGATGTTCGCATTCGTTCACTTAATGGTGAGTGGATGTTGAAGCCCTTTAATACCTACCTATTATCGATTAAGAATCGAAATTCAGTTGTCATCCCTGAGAACTAAGATATATATACCCTGAGAAATGCTTCGTTAAAAGTAAAAAAGGATCTGTAAGCGTGGTCCTCTCTAGTTTGATTCCACCTATTGGTACTGCAGGCAATGTATTCATCGCTTTACCACGTATAGTGTGAGGTAGTTGTAAAACGAAATAAGGTCGAATAAAAAATGTCTAATGAGTAAAATAAAAACGAAAAAATATCGATCATAATTTATTTACACAACCGTAATATTTTTAATATATAAAATATTTTTAATTAATTATGCTGCTATTCAACACTGGTATACTGAGCAAGTATAGTTCTGTATCCTGACCCCTGAACGGATTAGTATGCGCGTTGGTGGACTATGGAGGGAGGGGTGTCCTCTTTCCCTTCCCGACGCAGCCGAGGTGGAGTGGTGGTAAATCGATGCACCACTCACCCTATCGTCCGCGGCTCTGGCGAGGCCAAACTGCGGTGGTGTTGGGGCCGCGGGGGAGAGAAGTGTCAGTGTTACGAGGCGCTGCTCTCCCTACCCTTCGTAGAGCCATGAAGCAGATTCCCCCCTGGGGTCAGGAAGGCTTGTGCTTACGCATTGGACACGGGGGCAACCGTTGCGCAGGTGTTTCTGGTGCGCCTTACCTTAGATGGAGGGGAGGAAAACCCCTCTGTCGAGGAGGGGCCTCACTAACGCCGGCCGCCCCATAGCGTAATTGTGCAAAAGTATTCCTGTGACCTTGCGAACATGTGGCGAAGGTGGAACGTGGAATTTTAGTCGGTGCGAGTCTGAAATTATCCGTCCTTGCCTCCGCGAGGTGGGTGATATGCAAAAATTTCGCCATGTAAAAAGGTATACAGGTTCCCAAACGTTCCCGACTATTTGTGCTGCAAATATAATAAACCCTTCAGCGTCGCTTTACCACGTATTAAAGAAATTCGAGTAAACATTTGTTTAGAAAGAGAATAAAAAAGAATAAAATATATCCCTCATAATTTATTTACAAAATGGTAATGTTCTTAATTAATTAACAAATATAAATAACTTTTTGAGCATTCTATGTACAATGAATTATCGCTTTCTTAATTTTTTTTGCAATATCGTTTTGTCTTATTTAAACATCGCAATTTTACATAAATAAAAAGTTTATATTACAAAAGATTTACACATAAAAATATAAATATAATTTTAAAGCATTTAAAATCGTCCTGAAAGAGTGTCTTAAAATGTTAAAAATATATTTCAGTAAAGAAATAGTTATTGAAAAATTACAAATCCAAGTATGTATGTTTAACATATATATTGGATTTTTAATTTTTAAATAATTAGTTTTTTAATTTTTGGATTGATTTTGCATTGAAAACTGGTGTATTAAATACTTTTCAAATAGTTCTCAATATACTAAATAGATATGTATATAAAAGTAAAATTACACGCATTGTCTCTTAAAATTATAATTACAACATCTCCTGTCCCCACTGGGAAGTACAATCTTAATTAATTTGTATTTGTAAACTATTTCGATTTAAGCGAAATCTATAAATAAAATTTTATTTTACGCCAAATAATGCTGTAATTGCTCTGCACCTAGTGATGCGCCATAAATTGGTATATCTGAAATATACAAATATCTTTATTAGTATTTTATATATATTTTTGGCAGTTAGTTATTCTATGTACAAAAAGTAACATGCAAAGATATATTACAAATAATATAACATACATATTCAATTGTTAGAACAAGGTACTCTTGATTTATATTTAAATTAGGAAATATTATGCATTAAGCTCAAAATTTAGCCTTAGTGTCTAGTAAATAATTAAACATTGAAATTTGAAATTTTTATGTACTGATTGACATATGAAATTTAAATTTCTTTTCGAATAATATAAGGATGCCAAATGTAACTGTACAAAATCTTACGCTATTGTAGAAACTAAGAAAAATTACTAAGAAGATGTATATTTTTTGTTTTATAATACATAAAACTTATCTCGTTATTACGTAATTTTCTACTGTTCAAGAAACATGCATTGAATATTTACACAATAAAATAAATCAGAATCAGTATCTAAGAATGTACAAAGTAGTAGAAGGTAAAGAAAACAAAAGTTGTCTTTTTGATACATTAGTCTGTACAGTAAAAGTCATTTTGTCTGTTAGTTGGTCCACGTATGTTGTAGAAAGATTGCGAATCAGAATATGAGATTTCTTAACCACAAGTCCACAAAACTGTTTTCTTGAGATAGAAAATTTATGAAGTGTGACTTTACACTGTTTAAACTTCAATGAAAATGGGTGTCTTTACAAAAGTTGAAATTTAGAATAGTTTAGAAAGTACGGTCTTACGGTCAGTAATTACAATCGTCAAAACCGCATGCTTGTATCCATATATGGTGATTTTTAGTAAAGTTTCTAAAGAATGAAATTCAAGTTAGGTGATTAAGTCGGTGCTATTTTGATATCATTTAATTCAATATTTTTTTAAGGTAAGTTACTTCTACAAAATACATGGTTTCAGTCACAGTCGTCAACATACCTAGAATAAATAGTCAGTCTTGTTCAAAGTTTAAATTTGAACGATCCTGTTTCCACGTAGGTAGAATCTCACGTCTTTTCTTCTGTTACCGTTGCTTTCAGTCTTGTTTGTCTGTCTAGCGGTGGAAGCCGTTATCGTGCTTGTAGTCGTTGAAGTGGTGGTGTTGGTGTCATGATCAGGAAGTAGTTCAGCTGGAAGGACTCCTACTTCATTATCTGATGTAGGAGTGGGGAAAAAGGCGCGTCCCGTTTTTAGCATTTCTTGCAACCGCTCGCTGTTGAATTGAGGAGCGTCTTCTAAAGACCTTTGAACATTTTCGTTCATAAAAGCTTCTAGCTTGCTCAGATTATGATTGATCTTTTGGATTTTAGCCGGCGTTAAGCCTTTCTTTATAAATAAAGTTGGGACGATATAGTGTTTGGACGTTGCGTAGTCGAAAGGAGGGTGGGGGTTATGTGGGTCATAATTCGTGTAAGCATCGATAGCTGTAGGTTCGCCGTAAGAGTTGTAGGCGCCCCAAGCCGTCGACTCAGAGAGAGGAGGTGGGGGCAAAGGTATGTCATGAGATACCGTCGTTTCAACCACATGGGAGGGAGCGGCTGATGTGAATACGTCTTTTACAGCTGTGTATATATGGTTGAGTATGGATGGGGGTGGTTGTAAATGTGTGTGTCCGATTGAGGCTGCCTGATGCGACTCGCCATGTGCAGCATCACCGACGGGCCCCAGCACAAACAGGCCAGCGTGCACTCCGCTTAGCTTGCCTCGTCCTGTCTCAAAATAACTGTCGTCTTAGTCAGGGATTACGTCATTAGTAGTTGGTCATTTCAACAAATTCATGTCTGTAATAATACCAGCTAGTGTTCCTCCTTTCTAATTTACTTTAAGAATATAACTAATTATACATATCATCGCTTATAACTGATTATACCAATCATCTCTAAGGATAGTGTATGCAATATATCGATATGTATGAGAACTTTTAATGGTTGCTGGTGAAAGTACATCATTTATTCATTATTTTATGGATGCAACGTACAAATGCTAAATGCCAGGTTGGCTTATAATAATATAGCTGTAGCCATAATAACTTTAAATTGCAAAGTAGTCCCTAGTTACACAACGTGTCTATTATTTTTAAGTCTCATTTGCCTAGTAGTTTGACTAACGAAAGATTTCCTACAAAATAAACGTAGTGATTTATATACTCTTTGCTACAAACCGAAATATAGTAATTTTTACGCGAACTGTTGCTAGCTATAGGTGGCAAAATAACTTGATATATGATGGTTTATAACTAAGTGGACTTTGTATTTTTTTTTATAGAATGAAATTGAAAAACGAGCACACAGTCCACCTGGTGATAAGTAGATTGTGTGGCCCATAGATCGATTAAGAATCAAATGCAGATACGTTGTCACCCCTGAGGACTAAGATGGAATATTTCGTTTCCAGTAAAAAGTTTTTCCGGTTTTCTACGCTCACTGTACAATTTACACTGGTATTATGTGAGAGTGTGGTCCTACCTCGATCGAGTCCACCCATTCTTGCTACTGCTATATTATAATATAGCTGCAGCGTGGCTCTACCACGTAATTGTAAAATGGGGTTTGTTCTTCTTCGCCCAAGTTGATAATCACTTATCAATAACTCTCTACGTTCATCATCATCATTACAGCCCTTCACAAGTCCACTGCTGAACATAGGCCTTCCCCAAGTAATGCCACAAAGCAAGGTCCTGAGCCACCTGCATCCATCGACTTCCTGCATGTCTTACTAGGTCGTCACTCCATGTAGTGGGGGGTCGCCCTACACTAAGCCTACCGGTACGAGGCTGACACTCGAGAACCTTTCTTCCCCATCGGTTATCGGTTCTTCGAGCTATATGGCCGGCCCATTGCCACTTCAGCTTACTAATCCGTTGGGCTATGTCGATCACTTTGGTTTTACTGCGGATATCCTCATTTCTGAGTCTATCACGCAGAGAAACTCCGAGCATAGCCCTCTCCATAGCTCGCTGAGCGACCTTGAGCGGTACTGTTAGTTACGTTACTATCAGCAATAAAGGTGATATGTCTCTATTCTAATTCTAATCATCATATTTTTAGTTGTCGATGCGTCTGTTGGTGATCGTTTAATTTGTGAACAATCTGATCCATATTATTTATATTGAGACCATATTCTCACAATTTATTTGTTTTGTCGAGACTATGGTTCGTAGCTTGCTGGAATCCGGTAGGTGGCACTATAATTAAATTATTAACAAATTCCACTACAATTGTGAATATGAGTTTATATACTCATTGACTCATATTCACAATATAAGTTGGTTTCATGCCAAAGTAGAAAATTACCAACTGGACACGAAATGTGTCGAGTTATTTTTTAATTTTATATTTATAATTTGAGAAGTCCGAAATGAATTCAGAATAACACTTACCGCGACACCTACCGGAAACGACAGAACAACTTCTGTTCAGGGATCCTGAATTGTAAAACCTATTGAAATTCATTATTGTATACCAAATAATGAATTTCTCCTCTTCTAAAAGAAAAAAAGGCTTATTTAAAGTATATAGCAGCCTGTGCTATCTATTAATACTCTGCCGGGTGATAGGTAACGCTTTATAGCACGCCAAAAAACGTAAATATTAACAAAAAAGAGAGAAGGAAATATAGGATGGTGCAACCTTCGAGGAAAACTTTTAAAACTTAACAATACAATCGCATGAAGTACAGTGTTTATATGAAGACAAGCAGAAAGTGTTTTCAATAAAATGTTTTTATTAAACCTGTTTTAAAAACCAAATTTGGTCAATTTTTAAATCACGTTGATAAATTATATATTTTAAACCCCCATATTGCCCTTACCATTTTAAAATATTGTCTCCTTGTACCTATATTTACATACTTGTTACGCTCAAGTTCAGTCTGGAAATGTTCGGATATTTTAAAAGATATTGATAGTAATCTTGAAATTGCTTTAGAAAACATTCTAAATTTGAGATTAAATACAATAGCCTTGGAATCAAGCCACTTTACCTATCAAATTTGGTGGAATTGGTGTAAGAAATATTTCTAGCGTCGCATTGCCTGCTTTCCTTGCTTCCGTGCATAGTGTCAATGTCCTATGTAACACAATTTTAAATAATAAAGTAGACCTGTGCTTTGCTTCGGAGGCAAAGCAAACATGGCTAACGCTCTGTCCCGGCGAAAATGTCCCACTGGAAGTTAACCAACAAAAACAGTGGGATATTCCGTTGGTACGGAGTGTCCAGAAAAATTTATTCCAAAATTTCCATATTCAACAAGATCAGGCTCGCCTTCTAGCTGTTTCGACTAAGGAATCTAGCCACTGGTTACATGCTCTACCATCAAGTAATCTCGGCACATTGCTTGATGGGGAAAGCTTGCGCGTCGCCGTAGGAATCCGGCTAGGAGTGGCTATTTGTCAACCTCACCCCTGTAGTAGCAGCGTCGATGAGTTTGAGCTCCACGGACTTTCATGCAAGAAAAGTGCAGGTAGGTTTTCCCGTCACGGTTCTTTGAACGAAATCATCCGAAGGGCTCTTGTCTCTATAAATATCCCCTCGGTTTTAGAGCCTTGCGGGATATTTAGAGACGATGGCAAGAGACCCGACGTTATGACTTTGGTCCATTGGGAGAGAGGTAAAGCCGTTGACACTTTGGCGGCCTCTCATCTCAAGGGTACCTCTTTTAGAGCCGGGGCGGCATCAGAGGCAGCCGAATTTAGTAAATGGCGCAAATATGAATCCTTGAGAAATGACTAAATATTTGTGCCATTTGCTGTAGAGACTATCGTTCCGTGGGGTCCACGTGCAATGAAGTTTCTAAAGGAACTGTATCCACGACTGGTCGTCGCTGCTGGTGATAAGAGGGCTGGTTCTTTCCTCGCTCATTGGCTAAGTACAGCTATTCAGCGAGGAAACGCAGCCAGCGTTCTTGGCACTATACCACGGGGAGCAGGTCTTTTTGACGATTTAAATTTTTAGTTTTAGATTTTCTATATTATAGTTTCTTCTTTTATATTGTATATAATTAGTTTTAATCGTT